GACGGTACGGAGAAATATGTTTTCTCTCGTAGCACAACACAAAGGGGAACTTAAATTATCTTTAGATTTCCCGCGTTTACATTCGGAACGAACCATTTTCTAGGAGCCTGACCTTAGAATAGTCCTTGTCCGCATGAGATTGGTTTAAGGCAGGTGTGCATTCAGTACATACTGTGGTCTTGACTCACATTTTTTCGTCTGCTGCCCCACAAGGCAGGAAGAAATTTATTTTGTTCTTTGTCTTACATGTTCTAAACTACGCCCATTGATGTATGGAGATTTTCAGTGTTAACTTTTACATTTTAATTTTGTTACTTCATTAATTCAGTTGTCTTCCCAGGTCTTCCGGATGACATGCCTTTTCATTTCAATGTTACCAACTTCGATACACTAAACTGCTGATAAATTGTTTGTTTCAGAAGATCTTATCGGTACAGTCTAAATTCTTATTTAGTGCCTTTTTACTTTGAGTGTACAGTACAGTTTTGTTTTTCACAGTGTTACATTCTCACCATTTCAGATTTTTAAGCGTTTACTAGGAGAAACATTGAAGTATTATGATCACAGACACAAACCAGGCTTACTAATGAAAAATCCAAAATGTCCCAAAGAAGGGGGGGGGGAAGTAATAAATTTTATTTGCATTCATTGAGAATTTCTTGGAAGTTGTATGTGAACTGCAAAGTCGTTAAAGGCATGACTACCTCCGTGTTCGAACTCCATTGTCCGTGGATGACACAACAAAAGCGGTGTAAAATACAGAATGTATGCGATTTAGTACCAAAGTAACTTTTGGCGATCTAGATTAAAGGGATTGAGTCTTAAAATTCTGAAACCTAAAAGTAATTTTTGGAAATTTCTCACAAATGAGGTTTACTGATGTTTTCAAAAGTTTACGCAAGTACTGTGTAAATTCTATATTTTACACGTCACATTATGGCTGAAGGGTCAGTTTTGCTAACTTACATTATGAAACAATTGCTGTAAAGAAGCTGTCAACAGATCAGAGGCTTGATTGTAGCTAATATTTGAGGTTCTTGTGGTGGCGAGTATGAAGTTGGCTGTCGTCTGGGACGTTGTGCCATGTAGTCTTAAGATATTCAGGAGAATTTGTTGCCTTCATCGTCAAGATGATTGGCTGAATGATGAAGGCAGTAAACAGTTCTGAAACAATGGCCATTAATCTACCAGACCATATAGTGTAACATACCAGAAGACAGCTGTTTTAAAAGACTAAGTTGGTTGAGGTTTATGGAAAATGTGTGTACTTCATTGGAGTTGAGATCTGCAATCTTGTTCTTGCACTTCACCAAGATGTCTCGTTTTTTTACGGACGATCTGTGGACTCGTTGTGATTACAGATGATGACAGTCCTTTGAGCTTGTTTCTATTCAAATAATTAAAACTCATTAACTTATCCTGCATGACAAAGCAATTCAAAACAGAACTGGGCAGTTAGAAACAGCTCGTGTCGTCATTACTGTGTTGGGTCATGGCTTCCATTTTGTGTAGAGATTTAACAAATGTTTAGTTGTTAGTAAAGAACAGACTGGGACATGAGTAATGCAGCATTTAAAACAAGCACTGAACTTGACATTCTACCTCTTTCAGTTTGTCAGTTTAAAAAAACCCAATAAAAATGTATATATAACCTGACGTAAAGGTTTGTTAGTTATTGTGGTTGTCGGATGTACTTTAAACACCAGATTAAAAATGACTTTTTTAGGATTCCTTTAAGGTATCTCCAGATGAGAGTTATGTGCCATCAGAATTACACATATGCCTAAATGAAGATGTATGTGTCCTTGAAGAGAATTTTTTTTGTTAAAATATAATTTATCATAGCCGCATAGTCTTGTTTGAGAACCGCTGACTTAGATTATTCTTGTTTCTAAATTTTCTGTTACCTCTCTGCCATAATTGTTACTGCCAGTATTTTATCGTCTTTCCAACAATAATTTCCTTTCCATTTCGTTCGTAATTTAATATCTTTTAATTTTTTCGTTTTAAATATTTAATTTTGTTGTTGTTGGTTTAGATGTTCAGAACTGCATGTTACTCTGGGAAATTGGACATGTCGAGAATTATTTATTTCGGTGCTTGTGGAGGGCACAGCTACAAATTGATTCTCGTTGTTTCAGGTACAAGAGTCGTGGTGTGAGTAGCCAGTGCCCACGGGCGTCTCGTTACTCCTCTTCTGCCTCAGCGTCGGGTGCGGCTACAGCTGCGTCCAGCTTGGAGCTGAGAGAGCTACGTCGACACAGTTACAAAGCTGCCGTCCTGCCCAACAAGTCAGCCTCGTACCTAGAACACCGACGCACCCGCAGCAGTCGGGGCATGAACATGGGGCAGAAGCTATCAGGCATGTAGTAGAAGTCGTCCAGTCTTATCTTTCTGGATTTGCCTCGCCCTCCGTTCCTCATTAGATTTTTAACACTTTTCAAGATGAAGATTTCTGTCTTCTGGGTTGTTGCGCCGTGTAGTCTGGTCGATGTTTACCGACGTTTCAGAGGTCATACAGTTTTATACGCACGTTGCTTGTTGCAGCAACCCAAACTGATTCGTACAAGAAGTTTTACTAATCTGGAAATATGATTGTCTAGTTTATGCACGGTGAGAGCTGCGTTTACAATTTGTGCTTTTCATCCAAGAAAATACCATCACAGAAATTTAATGTTTGAAAGTAGCTGTTTACTTCGCGCAACTTGTCATTCGTTAATTAAACTTGACCTCTAAAAGTGAATGTGACGTACCATGAACCATGATGTAATCGCCGCTGCCTTTTCATCAAGCAGAATGTTGGCCAAGTCCTTCAGTTGGGAATGTTAGAAAAGAAAATATTGTGTTCTCTCTGTTAGCAGATATAGAACTTATTGTTTTTGATGCATTGAGGGCTTCCACATGACCATTTTAAGGGTACTCCTGTACATAGGGCATGGTCATGTACTGTGTCACTCTGCCTTTCTTTTTCTTGGTCCTTTGTCACCATGATAGGAGCCCATAACTGGACCCTGACCTGGGTCAACAAAATCCAGTCTCCTTTGACTCCTATCTCCCATAGATCCCGCCTGAGATTATCCTCCCATCTACGTTTAGGTCTCCCCAGCAGACTCTTCCCTTTAGGCTTCCCAACCAATACCTGGTGCACACCTCTTGTCCCATCCATGCGCGCTACATGCCCCGCCCATCTCATTCTTCTTGACTTAATCGCCCTGACAATATTGGGGGAGGAGTACAGATTTTTATGCATCATTATGCAGTTTTCTCCATGCCCCATCGTCTTCCCTCTTAGGCCCAAATATCCTCCTCAAAACCCGATTCTCAAACGCCTGCAATCTGTGTTCCTCCCTCTGAGTGAGAGACCATGTTTCGCACCCATACAAAACAACAGGCAAAATTATTGTTTTGTATACTTTAATTTTCAGGTTCTTAGAAATCAGAAGGGAAGACAAAATATTTTGAACTGAGAAGAATTTAATCTCCTCCTAACTTCCTCATGAGTGTCATTTTGATTTGTTGTTGTCGTTTTATAAATATGTACTGTGGAGTGTGTGTAAGATGGCTGTGTCTTGATGGCAGGAGGTGTAAAGACTGTGAATCAAGAGAGCCCTCAGCACTACAAGCCTGTAATCCCTCGTGAACTAGCTCAAGAGTTTGCCCGCCCAACTCGCTTGGATGCACTGTTGGACATGCCACCCGCAAGTCGTGACTGCCAGATTAAACACGCCTGGAATGCAGATGATCGCTCATTAAACATCTTTGTTAAGGTATAAAGTACTTTTAAGTAGATGAGTGGTCAGTGGGTTTAATATCAGTTTGACTGCATTGGTTACTTGCAACACACTAAGGAACGGACCAGAACTTCCGTAGTAGAGGTCGTGACTTGGTGTCTTCAGCGTCTGTGTAAAAACAGGATAGACTACGTTTGGGCTGGATCAGCGTTTATCATTTTCTTGTGCGTCATTTATTTTTCTTTTTGCTAAAACAACTTAATTTTGTGATAAAATCTGTACTCATTGTGAGAGTTGCACAGATTCAAAGTTGCAAATCAATCTGTTTCAGGACGATGACAAACTCACATTCCACAGACATCCTGTAGCCCAAAGTACTGACTGTGTACGGGGAAAGGTTGGTCTCACCAAGGGGTTGCACGTGTGGGAGGTGCACTGGTCTACTCGGCAGAGGGGGACGCACGCAGTAGTAGGTGTCGCAACGCTGGAAGCACCGCTGCATTCAGTAGGCTACCATGTGAGTATTGCTGGCGCGATAGTCTGTTTCCTGGTGATAATTCGGTATACAGTCACATTTTAATCATGACAGACTTTAAACGCTGGTACGCACGAACACAGTAGGGAGACTTCAAATCCCACGTTCCTGTGGTTAAGGACATCTTCGGGATACGTGGATTTCCTCGTGGTATTCATTAGCGTTGGTCTCGTTAATTTGATCGCATAATTTACTTCGGAGCGTGTGTTTCTGAATAGTGTTAAATTGGCAAACCTGCATTTTCTTTCCAGAGTTTAGTTGGCAGTAATGACCAGTCGTGGGGTTGGGATCTTGGCCGAAATAAGCTGTATCACGACTCGAAGAATAACAACGGTGTCACGTACCCAATGTCACTCAAAGCTGATCAGACATTTATTGTCCCCGACAAATTTTTAGGTAAGTAAGTTTTATTTATCTGTGGACAGGAGAAGTGAAGCGACTGTAAGTGATCTGTGATGTAACGTCTTTGTTTTCAAGTAGAAATAGTTTTATGCTGTGGCCGAGTTTTGATCTTGGTTTTGTTGATACTGTACCTCACTAGTCTTGCTTGAAGATCTGTGAGAATAAATTATTATACAGTTTTTGTTTTGACTGATAGAATTGTACATCTACCCTGAAGATGGAGGCAGTAGGTTGTGTACAGCTGAAAACCCGCTATGTAAGGGTGCCATATTAATATGTATTTTCTTCTGTGGTCACTGTCATGTTCTGTATTTCCCAGAAAAGTCACACTTCTGCATTAATTGCTCTTTTCCTATTTTCAGTAGTCAATTAAGTCATTACTTAATATGATTAAATGTAGCAGATAGATGTACAGCTAGCTACTGAGGAGACTAGATTTCACAGCAGAGCGAACAGTTGCTCAGGTGACCAATGAATTTGCTTTTATGCAACTGGAAGGTTCATTACCATTTTTACAAGAACCCACCATCACCGGGGTCCGCAGTGGCCACGCGGTTGCTGGGAACGTGGGTTCGAATCCCACTCAAGCCATAGATGTTTGTCCGCGTTCTTCTGTGTTGTGCTATCCTGTGTACAGGTAGAGGCCTTGCGACGGGCCGATCCCTCGTCCAAGGAGTCCTACTGAATGTCTATAGATCAAGCCAACGAAAAGTTGGGACCCGCAGTGCTCAGGCACTTGAAGAACGAGTCGTTCCCAGTATCCCCACCATCATCACCACCAACAGTCCCTTATCCAGAGCCATATCAATCCATTGCTTGCCCTTCTGCCCTATTTAAATAGTATTTTACAATTATCCTCCATCAATGCTTAGGTTTAGCAAGTGGTTCTTCTCTTCAGGCTCTCCAACCAAAATTCTGTATGCATTTCTCATCACCTTCATGCAAGCTATGTGCCATGCCCATCTCATCCTCAGGTCGTTGAAATGCATCTAAATGAAGTTCCTTAATTTTTTTGTTACATCGCTTCGTCGTGATTATTTTCTACCTATTACTATTTAAAAAAAATACTTTCTCCACAATTATGTTGGATATTACATTATTTTGTAATCTTGAACAGTGATAGTTGTCTGCTAAAACAGTATAGCTATTGCTAAATAATATTTGTTTTTTCTGGTGCACGAGACATGACCTGTCTCAAATTTTGGATTAGGGCTAACAGCAGCATCAGGCTTGATTTTGATTTTTCTTATTTACAGTTGTGTTGGATATGGATGATGGAACTTTATCATTCATGGTAGATGGTCAGTATCTAGGCGTTGCATTCCGCGGACTCAAGGGTCGGAAGTTGTATCCTATTGTGAGTGCGGTCTGGGGTCACTGTGAAATTACAATGAAATACATTGGAGGCCTGGATCGTAAGTATTAGTTTTCCGGTTTTGTTCTTACTCTTAACGGTTAATGATCAGCATTTGAGCTTCTAATATTGTTATAGAAAGCAATTATGGTGGCAGTGTTTTGTAATTTGAAACAGAAGCACTACCCTGCTCTTTTTTTGGAATTTAGGCATTTATTTTGAAGTAGAAAGACAAATATCTTGGCTACAACAATATAGAATGATGGCGTGTACAGGCTTGGAAGACAAATATGAATATACAGTAGGGCACCGCTTATACGGCAGGGTAGGGACCAGACCCCCCCCCAAAAACATAAAGCGAAAATCGCCGATAAGCGGATCTTTGCCTTATTTCACTTGCAAATGCATATCAAAGAATAATAAGATGTTTACACTATCATATAGTAAGTGCACAATAGCGCTAGGCCTAAGAAAACGATATGAAAGTAAATAAAATATCAGTAGTACACACATTGTGGCTGGTTTGATCTTCAATCCACACAACTAAAAGTTTTTCCATGTCGGCAATAAGGCTATTTCTTTTTCTTATGACTTTAGGGTTCATTGGTGTGGCACTTTTAATTTCATTTAACACTTTCTCCTTAGCGTTCACGATGGCACTAACAGTTTGGCGAGCTAGGCCTAGCTTACATTCTATCTAGGCCATAGACATGCCTTGTTCACGAAGTTTAATCATCTCTAACTTGGTATTTAAAGTAAGAGGCTTACGGCTCCTATTTTTATCGCTACTACCATTAGACGCTATTGTAATTACTCTGTAGTAACACAAAAATATTACATAAATATACAGTTTGTAATAACTTTGAAAAATTGCCAGAAATACATAGAGACGCGGAGCGCTCAAAAGCTGTAAACAGACTGGATCAGCGACAAGAAAATGGCGCCGGACGCACTTCTCTGACTCAGCTGTTGAGCGCCGTATTAGCGGATCACCGTAAAGCGGAGCGCCGAAAAGCAGGGCCCTACTGTAATTGAATACATGTCTAACTCATATCATGACTGCATACTACTTATATGTACAGTGTAATGTTTCTTCCATCTGTGCGTATGTTTCATAAGTTGTTTCTTATGAGACAGCTATGAACAGACAAGTTCTGCATATAGCAGGCATGCTGTTCAGAAGGTTTACCCTTACAGAATGTCTGTTGAAACTGAATAATGTGTGACGTTGCCCTTACTTTCCACAGCTGAGCCCCTCCCTCTGATGGACTTGTGCAGGCGGGTAATACGGCAACGCGTAGGCAAGCACCACTTGGAGGAACGGATCAAACACCTCAACCTGCCTCACGCCATGAAGGTTTATCTTTTGTATCGGGACCGCAGATAACAAACTCACCGTCTAGCGTCCGGCGACAAGTCATTCACCAGCGAGTGACTACAAATGTTTAACACTTTCTACTAGCTTCTCAAATTTGTGTGAAACCTGTCTTGCCAAGAAACCCATCAGAAATCGAAAATGGTAAAACATGGTGAACCAAGTTTGTGGACTGACAAACAATTTGTCATTAATCCCTCACTCATTCCGTGTCATCGTTTTGGCAAGTGCATATTTCTCTTTTATACATTTGCACATGGATTGCAAAAAAAGGGTCCCTCTTCCCCCCACTGCATTGACGGCAATTCTTAGAACTTTACTGGTGAAGTGGGATTATTCTATTGAGAAGATGATGTGATTTCGACAGTTTCGGATTTCAGTAAATGTGCAAGAATTATAACTTTTAATTTTGGTGACATTTTCTTCTTGTATGTCGAGTATGCACGTAACTTTTAAACAGTGCCCGATCCAAATCTTGTAGAACAGCGAGGTACTTCTAGTACATATGTGTGAATGAATGTGTGTACTACACGAACAAAGTAAACATGTAGTAAAAGTATCATTGGAAGATTAAGATCAAAATGTGATTGAACCCTTGAGTTAATATTTATAATTGTTTGAAACTTGGACACCCTGGAAGTTTAAATGAGATCTACTTGTGGCTTCCAGCAGAGTACATGAAGAAGAGATAAGAAGGGAAGCACCAGAGGATCAAGGCAAGAATGTAAGTGTTTCTACCCCATGTAACATGTTTTATGCCATAGTATTGGTGTTTGCATCACAGAAGATTCTGTTACCTATTATGCCAGTCTAATTCAGCTGTATACGTCATAGAAGATGCAAATTCGACCTGTTTCTTTCATTTACTGAAAGACAATATGAACATTTTTTTTAAGTGCAAGTGGTAGCTTGTATGTATGTATGAATAAGCACACGGTTTCTGATTAAGTATATTGTTCATTTTAGGACATTTTTTTTTCTAACAGCCAACTGAATAGTGCAATTTTAATTTTTAAAAATAACAGTGTATGATTTCAACATTTGCTTGCACAATTTATATGTTGATGATATTTAGATTTATCAAAAGCAAAATTATTCCATTCCACTTGAATGTATGTAGGTAAATCATGTGCAAAACTGACCATTAGTTGTCTTTTGTAGGTCTGAGGGCATTATCTTGCCTCAGGCCATTGTGTTCACTTCCAAATGTTGGATTCGTCGTCTTATTTGCACTGCACTTTTCTTCACAGATGTAATCTTGTTTTCTGTGAAGAAAAATCATTTATGTACAAAGAAAGTCTGAGATGACACATTGCATAATGGAAATAAGTCCTTTATGTGGCCATATTAAGTACTTAAGAGCTACATAATTGCTTAAAGGAAGCTAAAATTCAGGAATTCTATTTATATTGACTATATGTTATACTTTTATTCCACTGTCAGTGTTGAGATTCCATATATTGGAAAGGATGTTCCACATAGTTCATGGGGTTTCATCAACAAAATTAATAAAGTAAATAAACTAACTAACTTACTAGATGGCTTACCGAACCCGAAGGTTCATCACCGAATTAACCAATGCCCTCCATCGGACCCTGTCCTGGGCCAATAAAATCCAGTCTCCTTCAACTCCTATTTCAGATAGATCCTGCCTGAGATTATCCTCCCATCTACGTCTAGGTCTCCCCAGCGGTCTCTTCCCCTCAGGCTTCCCAACCAATACCCAGTGCACACCTCTTGTCCCATCCATGCACGCTACATGCCCTCCCCATCTCATTCTTCTCGACTTAATCGCCATGACAATATTGGGGGAGGAGTACAGATTTTGAAGTTCATCATTATGTAGTTTTCTTCAGACCCCATCGTCTTCTCTCCTAGAAGATTTTCATTGTACATAAAATTCACAGCTTATTTTATAAAATTTATAATGCTGTGTGTCTTCAATTTGTGGTGCAAATAAGGGTGTTATCCTAACAGTGGCTTCAGATAAAGAATACTGTACAATTTCATTTTTACTTTGGTTCTTGATGTATTCCCAGCATGTCGCAGTACCAAAACTGAAGGAAAGAGAAGGTATGACTGCTGGCTGAGCAGAGGGAAAATTATAGAATATTTTGATGCCATATGTAATTGGTTCATTGTTTTTTTCATGTTGAAAATAATTTACGTTTGCCTTTTTGAAGAAGCAATCGAGATGGTAGTGTCCAATTTCCAACTATAAGCTTGCATTTAAATTTGGCTCTCCCATCTTGTAAATATATAACCTATATATACATGTGTAAAATTGGTGGAAAGAAGATAATAGTGACCTGCATATATAACACCACTGACATAAAAAATGTGTGATGTGTATAACAGTATGTACCATTTTGTTGGGGTCTAGAATGTACGAAACACCGCATAAATTTGTAAATTTAAAATTGGACAACATGTTAATGACAACATAGTGCAAATAGTAAATGTTAATAAATGAAATCATAGTTTATTGGTTGGTAACAGTGGCATACATTTGTATGGAAGTGCGGTTAGTGTGTATTACTTTTATTTGAAAATGTTTATAAAATTTAAGAGATGGTTGTTGAACTGCTTCGGTACAGTTTTTAACGGTTTTTTTATAGAAATTGTTTCTGAACAAAACAAATGCCATTATGTGGCTTCTGAAAAGCTACCTAACAGTGTTAGTTTATAAACTTCCAAGACTTGAATAAACTGCATTGGTAATGATGAAGTTTAACTTTAAATAGGTTTTAAAAAGTCTGTGTGAAAATAAAGGAATCTTTTTTTATATATATCTGGAGAATATGTGGAGCTATACAGTTTGTAAACTAGGTGAGATATGCTTTAACCCTCATTGTAACATTAATATTTTTTATACAACTGGAATCCTGAATTTCAGTGTCGAGGTGTCAGCATTCTCATTTATATTGGGTGATGTTTACTGGGAGCCGTGCAGGACGTGATTCATTTTCTCAGATGTGTTCCTTTACCGGATCAAGGATAACCAAAGTATCCAGAATCTCTCTATATTGTTTTCATGTTCTTCTAATTCTTCAGTTAACATGACTCAGTTGTAATGCCTTGTATGAAACCCAAAATAATACATTGTTAGGGCAGAAGGATGTCATTCTCTAGCATTCAAGATGGACCCTTCTGTCGATGATGTACATCTTTTTTTGAATTATTGGGCTGTCACGTTTTGGAACATTGTTCCAAAATATTAAAGTTTACTACCACAGAACTTTTGCAGGAACAAAAAAACAGTAATGGTAGTCTTTCAACTTTATATATAATATTCTTTTTTTATTAAAGATAAAGAAAACCTCAGAGACATGCATGTTTTGTAGGCGTTTGTTCTTGTGATTTGGTGTGCATGTGTGGATGTAATCATATGTCTAAAGGAGAGACAGTGCAGTGAAATATCTGTGTTTGTGCGCTTGGGAATTTTGATGTACAGATGTCCACCCAGGATGTTATTCATCTTTGAACTAAATGTAAACATTTTAAGAAAAATATTGTATAATGTAAACATAAATGCGAGGCAAATGACTGCCCTACAAGGGTCTCACTTTCAGTGTAATTTTAGTTTAGAATTCCTGAATGACGTGCGACATGATCTGCGGCAGCAAAAGTAACCGGGGATAGAATAAGCTGATTTCACGGTGGAATTATAGATCAGGGACAACTGTCTTCACTCCTGTCTTTTTTAGTTTATTGAGATAATTCTGATTTGTACTTGTTAACATTTGATTTTAATACACTTGGACAATATATCTTTTATAAGTAATAATTATAATCTGTTGCAACTTCCAAGAATGATGATTTATTACGGTAGATGGTGGTTTCTAAGATTGATATTTGGTTTCTAATGATATTGTGCAGTTGATGTAATGAATTTCCTATTTGTTTATTTGTATGTGGAGTCAACAACATGTGTGATGATGTTGATCTGAGTTTTGGTACTGTGTAGAATCAGGTAGATGCCAGTGTTTCTCCAAAATGTCATCTACGTACATGTCTACATGATGCCAAAAT